CTTGCTCCTGAGATATTTCTCCAGGTTTCCAGATCTGAATTGTCAAGCAGTGGATGCCTTGGCACAATGTTAGACAACTCTAATGAGTTGGGCAAATCTACCATAGATAATGATATATAAAATCTTGTTCAAGATTATTTGTGACAAAGCAACGATAGCTCTAGTAATACCATATTGGCTATTGGCAATATGGTTTTTAATACTATTGGACTTATTGATAGATCTCCCAATTCTGTTGACAGACACAAAACCGTTCCTACCAGAATGGATTAGCAACCTACAACTAGTTCTCAATCACAAGTAGAATATGTTCATTTGTCTTATCTCTGGAAAAACTTCAAAAAGAAAGGCTTTTTGGATAAAGCTGTCAAACTGTTGAAAGAAGCAACTATGGAGACATCCAATACCACAATCAGTTCTTTACTTAAGAGATGGTTGGTGTAGTACGATAAAGCGAACATAGATCTTGTACAATATTCTATAAGTAACATCATAGAATTTTTTGTAGATATATATAAAAAAGAATTAGCATATAACACGATTGCAAGATACCACACTGCAATAAGTGAAGTACACAATCCTATTGACGGTAATAGAATTGGCTATCATCCGGATATTGCTCGAACTATAATATCTATTTATAAGAAGAATCCCCCCCCAGATGCTCCTGATGAAGTAATAGATATAGTACTATATTTAGACTATATTATATCACTTGGGGATAACGATACCATGTCTATTTTGAACCTTCAGAAGAAGACTGCTTTTCTTTTGACTTTGACTTCAGCATCCAAACCCAGTAATTTGCATAGGATATCTATTCGATCTATAATAGCTACAAAGGATGGATATGTATTACATATATTAAAACCTAAAGAGTATAATATTTCTATAGCTCACAGAGGCAAGAAATCATCTAAGAAATTAATAATGATCGGGTTTTACAAGAATGAACTGGCAATATGTCTTGTTTTAGCTTTTTCAATATTGTTTACCTGCACAAGTGAATGGAGATATAGTGCAGAAAGCCAAGATAAGCTTTTTCTTTTCTCAGTGTCTCCACATAAAATAGTATCAGTAGACATAATCTCTCCATAGATCAAAAGTATACTCACAGTAGCGAACCTTACGGAAAAAGCCAAGGATCTTAGAGCAATTTTAGCAAATTTAGCACAGGAGTCCAATGCAGACATTTCATCAATTATAACCTTTGGAAACTGGTCTTCTAATAGAGTGTATCAAAAATTTTATCAAAAGGGAGTTAGAAAAATGCTAGAAAAAAATAATTTTCTTATTAGAATTTTAGATCAAGCAAGATAGAAATAAATTAGTACTCTACAATTTACACGTGATATTGTCTATCGTAGTGAGTGAAGTTTATTTACATGAATGATC